TGAAAGAAATCCCTGCAAGGTTGCAGCATAATAAATTGAATATGTTTTTCAATAAAAGCCTTGGAACAATCTGTAAAACATCATTTTTTCCAGATATCGCAAATGATATGATGATTGGACCGTCAGTCAAAATAATCACAATAAGATCAATGGGAATGAATGCAGGTGTATAACCAAAATCCCCCAAACACACATGCTCATAAGCATCACACAATCTCTTTTTTGGGGGGTTATATTAATTATTATATCATCATAAATATGAGGTCATATAAATGTTTTGTATATTACTCTTTGTTCTCTATTACATTGGGGAATTTGAATTTTTACTTAGGTGGAGACTTCAAAAAAGCCGACTGAGTTGTTTGCCTCTTTCTGCATTCTATATGATTTGTTACCTGTTTAAGTTATTGCATTAGACATTTTGCAAATGTACTCAGGCACAAAAGATACCTACACCTGTAGTCAAAATGTGTTGTTTCTCTGAGATCAAAGTCGTCAGTTTCTGTACTTTACTGAAGGTCCTCGCCTGTATCTAACCGTGGTTTAAAAGTGGCGTGAGAGAAACCTGAACAGAGACACGCAGAGGTCATTTGAGATGTCAGGGTGGCGCCCATCTCCCATTGTCCTCTCTGTCATTAGGGGGTTATTACAGCGCTGAAATGTTCACTGCAACTCGCCAGATACAGAAGAGAGACCTGCTTGCTCAAAGGTCTCAGAGTAGAGAGGGAATTCCAGGTGAAATACCTTGAGTTTCTTTGAAATTAAAATCCCCGTTATGTAATAGCACAATAAATAGATTTTTTTTTTAAAGAAAAAGAAAGGAGACCTCTTTGTGCTACCGCAATTTTAAGATACTGGAAATATACTGATTTTATCATTATTATTTGTACTTTATTTGACCCTTAATTTATTCTTGTTTTTATTATCAATAACGTTATTATGTTCATTCTTTGAAAAGGTCCCCTTATTTTAAAGCCCTTTGTGCTGCATGTGTTGTGTGAAATAAGCTATACAAATGTATTTTTGTATTATTTAGGTCATTTACCAGTTGCAACATGAAGTGATGAAAACATTAATGCATTAACAAACAATAATAATCTAATTATTTTATCCGAAAAGGGACTTTTCTGCAAACTCGAACTTTACCGGGTATAAGTTATATTTTCTTTATTACTGACCATGTATTTTGGTATTGTACATACACTTATTTTTGTGTAAAGTATGTCAATAACACTTAATATTATTATTATTGATATTATTACTACTATTGTTGTATTATGGATAGTTTTCTTAATTTTCATATGTAAGGTTGAAAAAACCTTGTTTTTAATTTTGGACAATATATAAAATATAGATAAAAAATTGTTTTGGTACACATTCTAAGCTGGTTAAATAAATGGAATATAACTGCATTTTGTTGTTTTTAAAAATAATAAGACAAACTTTCTCTCACCTCGGACAGGCCGTCCTCGCAGGTCTGGATGCGGCACAGGAGTCTCCCCTGACCGTCCGCAGCAGGACGGGAGGAGAGGACCAGAGACATGGAGGAGTCTACCCGCTGCTGCAGCTCGGTGCCGGGCTGAACCTCCAGCTCCAGCCCCGTGGAGATGTCACTCTGAACCTGCTGCTTCTCCCCCTCCTCCGTGTGCTTGTCCACCTGCTGTAGAGAGGGGACAGCCACCAGAGACTCAGGTGTCCCGTCCCTGGGAGAAGTATCCGTCCACCCGGTCTTCAACTCCCGGATATTCAGCTGCCGGAGGATGGCATTGAGCAGGGCGTACAGGGCGCTAAAGTTGACAGCTCCCTTGGAAGGTGTCCCAATAGCTAAATTCAACAAGTCAACAAGGCTGATGTTCTCCATCTTTGTTTGTGTGCGAGGAAACAAACCGTTAATTAAAGTTCAGCTAACGTTAGCTAGCTTTTAAAAAAACGTACAACTTCGACAAACAACCGTTAATTTCGTTTGTGACGCCCCCTGTGTGGATTTAAGGCGAACATAAATTGGATAAAGTATAAAATATATATATAATTTAAATGCTTCTTAAATGTTCTTTCTATAATGTTAATAACCGTGTACGGCATCCCCCCGGCGGCGGTAATCTCGGTGTCCGTTAGTAGAGTCAGAGTGTGATAAAGTTCAAGAGAAAACAGCAACCCGGCTACGTCAAAAAGGACGCGTTTACCGGAAATACAGGAAATAGCCCTTCAAAATAAAACAAAGAGAATATGAGATATATGCACCTTTATAATTAATCGTAAACACAGTTTTTCCACATAATAATTACACCTATTACTCAATACCTGGTCATTTAAGATAGTTTGGATAATATAAAATTGTATTTTGGTACCAGTAGAATTATATTATTTGTGTACATGTATTACATGTCTTATATATGTAATATGTAATGTAAAGCACTTTGAATACTTGTAAAAGCACTAAAATAAATGCAATTAATTATTATTATTAAATGTATTTCCAATGTACTTCCTGCAATTATAAGGTGAATGCATTTGAACCTTTGCCAGTGTTTTGGTTTGATTTTCATTTAGATCTTAAAACACATTTTGCCAATTGTCTAATTCTAATACTTTTAGTAGATCTTGTGTATTTTATACTTGTACTGAAGGATCAACATAAATGTATCACCTGTCGTCAACTTCTCTAAATAGGAAGGCTTTTATTTTTAAGTTGTGACCAGATACTGTATTTAGCATCCATTCTAGCTTGACGACACCGGCACTGTTGACAGATTCCCACGTTGGGTTATCCTCACAGCTTTACAGGTTGCTATGCAACAAGCTGCAATCATGCAGTGTTCAAGGAAGGGTAGAATGTAGTCTTTTCCAAGAAAAAAAAACACTGTCTTTATATTTTTTACATAATAAAGCAAAAACAGTACTGTAACTTTTGCTTATCTTACAGTTCACATATATTAAATAAAATAAATTGCTTTAACAATGCCAAAGTATTGCATATATTGAATTATTGCAGAAAATGCATGCACTGTTAAGACAGGTCAGGAAGTTTATTCGTTTTGCAATTAGTTTACACCTGTATACCAACAATATTTAGTATGTTAAAGATCACCTATCATGCTATTTTTAGGCAATAGCATAGGTCTCAGATATATAAAAAAATATAAAAAACATGTCTATGAAGTGTTTTGCTAAAAATACCAAACAGATCGCCCATTCTAGCCATGGATGTATAATAACTAGGGCCGGGACTCGATTAAAAAAATTAATCTAATTAATTAGAGGCTTTGTAATTAATTAATCGAAATTAATCGCATTTTTAATCACATATAAATATTTGACCTGAGAACAGTGAGAAGCAATTTTTTTCACATGGATTTTAGTTTACCATTGAATTATGACTGAATACATAAGCTTAAGCAACAAAACATTGTTTATTTTTTTCAAGGTGGTAATTAACCAAGACCAACAGAAAAGTGCAATTTTTGCCATAAAATGTAGCAATAGCATATTTAGGAATATAGTACATTTCAGAGATTCAGGTAGCCTATAGGTAGGTTGACCTTCTGTAAACTACAACACTTTGTTTTTTAAGTAAAACACAATACTTTCAAGTACATTCAGAACATTGGAAACCCTGACTATTAGAAAACATCTCTCTGTTGCTTCAGAGACCATAACAGACTTTGTTGATTTACCAACAGTCGATTTAAAAAATCTAATACATTTCAGTCCAACTCTCTCAATGACCTTGGCCAAAACAATAAACAGTTCAACATAAAGTGCCAGTTGCACCAACAACATAATAAATAGTTCAACATAAAGTGTACCATTTAAAATAAAATAAAAAAGTGCCAGTGATTGACCTCAATCCCTCCTATTCTTCCAATATCCTGATGAAAAATAAAATCTCTCTGTTGCATAGGCCACTGTTTGATCAACGCGAATTGGGTGTTGGTCCTTGTATTCCGAGTCGGGCTAACGTCCACGCTAGCTTCCACGCTAGCTGCTATATGTTTTGCATTGAGGTGACACTTGAGGCTTGATGTGCTGCGGTGATATGCGAATTCCTTTTTGCATAATTTGCAAACAACCGTGCTCTTATTGACGCTTCCATCCGTCCGTTTTTTAAAACAAAATGGCCCATCCACGGGGCCAACCAAAGCGGTCTCATCAGCTTCTTCGTTCATGTTTGACTATTGTTCACTGTGGTTTGTTGTTGTCTGAAGTCATGAACGTTAGTTGGTGCTCCAGTATAATCGGTACCCCTGAAACTCATCCAGTGAGAAACGTTCCGCGGTGCAAAAATAAGTGCGATTAAAATGCTTTTATTTTTGTGTAATTAATTAATCTTAATTAACGCGTTAAAGTCCCGGCCCTAATAATAACCACTGGATACAGCGCGGGAGGCGGGGTCTCGTTCTTTCCTATGAGAGCTGCTCAATTGGCGCATGAAGGCAAAATGGCCCAACTTTTGAGAGAGCGAAACATCACAGATTACCAGTCATGCCTTGCTGTCAGAGCAGAAGAACCTGTGTGTGTGAAATGAGAAAGGGCCATGCTCTCTCCAGTACAGGTTAGCTCTGAGTGTTAACGATGCTAATGTAAACACCGACCATATTACGTCCAAAACAGTGGGGCATTGTTTCTGATAGCAACGTTTCTGATAGTGCTGTGGGTTCGCCGCCGATATGACGTCAAATCGCCGCAAATATGGATCAGCTCCGTTGTAGCCCCGTTTTTAGAGATTTGGGTATGGAGGAAAAGAGAGAGGGTTTTATTTTCTGATGCTGAGTGAGTTCCCTGACACGCCGGGGACACATATTTATGTATAAAAGACATCAAAAAGTGCATTTTGCATGATAGGTCCCCTTTAAGATGCATGTTAATGTTTTCCTTTTTCTTTTACTTCCGCACCATTTCATGTAATATCTTGAAAATGTATTATTATAAATCTTAATCATTTGTCAGGGTGATTATCAGCAAAAAAGATGTGTAATCCAAATATAAATGATGCAATCCAATTAAATTTCAAAATAATATTTTATTGATAATAAAAACAAGCAAGCGAAAGTTCTTAATTACTACATTCAAGTATAAAATCACCATCATAGTACACATGCATTTCCCTTGACCTCATTGAGATTGATTGCATTTGCAACATGAAACTTAACTGAATGTGTTTCATTTGGCAATAAATGAACTGGATAAATGTGCTGTATTTCATACTTTGACACTTTAAACAAAAGAAAAATAACATACAGCATCTAAGAGTTCCTTGTTGCCCTTTCCCATTTCAACATTACATAAAGCTGTCTGGAAAAGACAAGAATGTCTTGAGGCCCGCCACATTTATTTAGCACTGTGCCGTTTTGGCATCAGATCAGTTTACAACAGCTGTGATTAAAAAATAATAATAAACAACACAGAATCTGCAGCCACGCCAGCCGCTATATGAGGCATTAAAGGCCATCGTAAAGAAATCAGATTAAAGTTAAGATCAACAGTTTAGTGGCTTTGAGGTCAGAATATTAACTGATCTTACAAATCAAGATGTAGTGGTTGGTGGTTACTCATGCTAATTGTCTTTGACAGCTTTTACACTAAATGTTTGGTAAAAGTAATAAAAGAAAATAGCAGCTGGGAAGAGGGCAATATTCTGGGGAACAAAATCAAATTTTTAGAACTTTCTGAGGGGAAAGTCACAAATTACTGTACATTTCAGACTTTAATCTCAAATGAGTTTCTTGAAAATCAATGACTTTTTTTGTAAATGTCCCACTTTAATCTCAGAGAATATCTAAGAATGTTTCTAATAAACATACAACTTTAATTTCATACATTCTGAGTTTTCTTTATGAATATTAATATGTAATTCATTTTTCTTTACCTACAATACTATAGTATAATACCCAAAACTGAGCTGCTGGTTTTACCATCTTGTTGTCTCTTTTTCCCCTTTAACATTCTCCATATTAGGAGACACAAAACAAACAGCCACTGTTCACTTCATTTGAACTAAATACAGTCACTCATTCATATGATAAAAGGGTCCCGGACTGCAGAGTCATGAAGGAACAAGGCAAAAAGAAAAGACAGCATCACAGAATAATTAACAACGGCATATTGTTTCATTGTAAATCAAAGTAAATACAAAAAAAGCCAGGGTGGGTGGTCATAATCTGAAAATATTCAGAATTTTAAAGAATACAATTGTACATTAGCAAGAAAAATAAAATCTGATTATATCATTTTTGGTAAATTCACGACTTTAATCTCAGAGAATATCAAAAAAAAATTCTTTTGAATAAAACACTATGATATCAAATTATTTTCTGTAATTATTATTTTTTTCATTATTATTTTCAAATTGAATCTTTTTTATTTCTCTAACCATTACCCCCTCCCCAGGCTTCATAATTACTTTGTATTTTATTTGTAGCTACAATGGCTCAATACGCTGTTGCTGGCAAGGCGGAAAGTGTCCCACATACAAATATAAAAAATGATAAGTTCAGTTTCTTGATAATATTTCCCTTTTACCTGCTTAGCTCCCATTTAGCCGTCAGTAACGTCAGATGACCGCGGATCGTAAAAAGCTCATTGTAAGTTTGTGATAACCTTGTGACTGCAGCTGAGCATGTAGGACACACTGGGAGTTCAGCAGAGTTCACAACACAAAGCTTCATGTTCACTGTCTTTGACAGAGTCCCTTACACACAAGGAGAGGAGAACATCATAACAGACGTATGGAGCCCAGGAGCTGTCAGTATTTTCTGGGATCAAGGTTGGGATTGTGCACTTGATGTGCAAGAGAGAGGAAAGACTTCTAAAGGCTAAAGTGGCATTAATGTATTTCTTATATTGTCAATAAATCCCATGAAAAGACCAAATTCAAAACAATTGTATTTCACTTCCTGTCTGTGGATTTCAGCTCAAAGCTCATTGGTTCCCACTGAAGACTTACATTTTAAAAACAAAAAAAAAGTGTTTATCCCTTCACTGTTTGCTTTATTAGAAGTGCAATCATTTGGTCAACCGTAAAAAAAAAAAGGTATGATTTCATTAAAAAAACTCACTGAATTTGAGATTTGCTGCTTTTGTCAGTTTTTTTATATCATGTTAAAGTTAATTTCTTTGACAAAAAAAATATTTAAAGACAAACTTAAATTTGAGAAAATTGAAAAGATATTTTCCACAATTTTTTTTGACATTTTCTCAACCAAATTATGGAGAAATTACTCGGCAGATTTATCGATAATGAAAATAGTCATAAAATGCAGCCTACGTTTGGTATCAAACAAAATCAAAAGGACTATTTTTAATGGCGGATTAATCAACATTTAGGGCTCTCATGAGTATTTGTGGTAGCCGTGTGGTGTATCTGAAATCAAGGTCATGGTGAAGAAGGAACATGTCAATGTGGCTCATTGATGTGTTTTTAAATAGTTATAAACAAAAATTGAGCAAAATACAAATACTAGTAAGAGGATGCAATCATATTTGGTTTTGGTCTTTTCATGGGATTTGCTAACAATAAAAAAAATACAAAATATCTCCAACCTTATCCATTAAACCAGCTGAAGAAGCAACAAACAACCAATTAAAACAGTAAGGTCAGTGTTCATTCCTCAGCATGTCTTCCCACAGGCACTATTGGGATACATCATTGTTGGCAGCCCCTCCAATCAAAAGTGCTTTTTATTTCATTAAAACATCTCTATTCATCATGCCTCAGTAAAGTCAGTTAAAAGGAATATTTAACCCAAATAATCGATCATTTGTATATCTATTATTTCCCCCGTGTCACCTAACTTATTGACGCAAAATGTGTTTTTCTCCAATGAGTGGTGGCTGCATTTACCAGCAGTTGTTTAATGTTTTGATCAAGTTTAAACAGAACTATATCAAAACATCCGACCCTCGCACAACATATGCAGTATAATACAGAGTGTTTTAAATAGTGCAGTTTTAGTTCAAAGTCTTGTGTTTGTGAAGTAGTGAGAATCGAACAGGATAAGTGGGACGTATAATACAAAGGTTGTGCGAGAATTTGTTAAGGGAGGTTATGATAAAGTATACAAACATTTACTTAAATTCATCAAGATATTTAGAATCTTTGATTACCATAAAGACATGAGTGAAAAAATAAAAACAAGGGGAATAATTACTATACAAGTCGACATTTTGTGGGTACGTTTTTCCTTTAAAATCCAACAAAATGCATTTTTCAACCTCAAATAACGAGGTATGCTGCTTTTCTCTGTTTTAGATGATATTAAAGTAAATCACTTTGGCAAAACAAGGCATTTAAAGACATCACCTTGGATGGAAATCTTTTCATGTTCTGTCATCTTACAAACCAGCCATTAATCAATAGTGAAAATAATGTCATCTTGAAGAATTCCAGGCTACACGAGGCGAGTTACTGATGTAATCATGATCATTTAGTTGGGGACGTTTTTAGAATTAGATGGATTCTTTTTAAATGTGTGTGCACAAACTATGAAAATATCAGAAATGAGGTATGCTTTGTGTGCACTAAGTTCCTCTTTAAGATTTGTCTTTTACTTACAGATACATGTCTAGATTTGGTTCCTGCAGCCGCTGCTGGGTGTGAAAAACAAACATTCCCCAGAGTCAGTTTGTTGAGGCTGGTTTACGTTCATCATCATCCTCCTCTTCCTCATCCGATGCTGTCATAGTCAGTTTCTCTCCGGCGAGACTCGGCCCTCCACTCGGCCAGGAAGAAGGTGATGGTGCCCAGGAAGCCGAACACCACCAGGATGAGCAGCTGCCAGTGCAGCAGCAGGTAGTTACTGTAGAAGAAGGCCAGGGCGGCCATGATGGACTGCAGGGGGGAGACCACAATATGTTACAGCACATGTATACATTACCCTGTGGTGCTCTGTAGCTGAAGGATGATACATCTTTACATGATTTTAAATCGGTCACAATCGCTCCTTTTCTGACACCAAGATCGAAAAAGTGTATGGTAAAACGTGGCTTAAAACTGTTCAAAAATAAATGTATGACACATCAAAGGGTTCAAAGGGGATACGCTGCTGTTCGAGAGACCAGATGAAACTAGGACAGTTTATGAAGAACTTTAAAGGTTAAAATTAAATAAAAGTGACAGCAGGTGGATTAGTCTAGACGAGTCTATTCTTGTCTATTTGTCAGTTTTTCTTTGTGAGTCTTCAAAATTATAAAACATATATCCATGTTTTCCCCCTGTAAATGTATGACTTTTTGAAAGTTATGCATGCTTTTCCCAGAGACATAACCCTGTTACATTATGTTAGTGAAATATCAGTCTCAAAATTGGCGGAAACATTGTGACATGTTTTAAACAGGTTTTGGTCATTTTAGGATATTTTAATTCAGGATCCTGAATTTGTTATAACTTTTTTCTAAGTATCAATTATTTAACGTCTGAAACCCACCTGTATGAACTTGAAGACGGCGAAGGCGGGAGCGCTGTTGTCGCGGAAGGTGTAGCCGATGATGCTGAGGAGCTGCGTGTTGAAGCAGCTGTCGCCCAAACCCAGCAGGAAGCTGCAGAGCAACGCCACGCCAACACTGACACACACACAGAATGTTAAAGTACACAGCATGCAATAAAAACATTTGCATCAGAGGGGCGTATTGTGTCCCAAAATATGGATTAAATGGAGTTAAATAAGCCCTAAAACAATGAAATTACATCAAGCACACATTCAATAAATTAGCAAAGAAATATATATTCTTAAAGACATTTTCAAAAACAAATGATTCATGGAGAAAAACCACAATCAAAACAGTTATACCATTTGCAATGTAAGGCATCTGCTTGTACCAGAGTATTGTTACAGCGTAGCATTAGTAATTGTACTGCAGTAAAGCATCTGTACAGTAATACCCCCTCCTGGCTGTGGTATCTGTACCTGGGGGTGATGTAGGCCTGCAGGTCGGTCCCCTCCTCGGGGGCCAGCGGAGCGTCGCTGGAGATGTTCAGGAAAATCAGGTAAAAGGCGATGTAGTGCGTGACGAGGCCCAGCAGCACCACAGGGTTCCTCCCAAAGCGGCTGCACTTGTTCATCATTCCAAACACACCGCCGCCTACCCGAGGAACAGAGGGAAGAGGAAGTGAAATCATCGGAGAAATTCCTCTCTGCAGAGCGGTCATGTGACAAACTGTATCACAGTGCATTAAGTACTGTACTTAAGCACAAATCAAGGTAGCCTACATCTCAGATGAAAGTATTGAACTTATGAAAGTGTTTCACCCCCCCCCCTGTCCAGTTAAAACCATGTATTAGGTTATTTTGATGTTTGGTTATCATTCATTATTTACTTTTTAAACTGGAAATATGCTCAGAATGTCCACACCAGCAGAAGTCAAGTGTATGCTGCACAGGGTTGTGGGACAGGGTAAATACGGCAACGGGATTTACATTTTAACGATAAAAAATAAGTTATAGGAAAAACATTTTATAACTTTTAACGTGATTAATTTTAATACCATTATTATTATTACTTTTATTAATAATGTAGTTATTTTTGTTAAAGGCTGATAAAATGTGTGGAAAAATAAGCGTGAAAAAGATGGTGTTGGTATATGAATGCATGTTTGTGAGTTTACCGGTCCCTTTAAATTGAAAGATAAAGGGCTAAGATGCATTGTTGCAGATAAAACTGTTCAATAGTATACCGGACGGGACTGAGAGGGAAAGTTTTCAGCACTATCAATATTTTCCCTTCATTGAGGATCAGAATAAAGGACTCTCTCTTGTAGTGAAGTATGTTCAAAGTGTGGTATAAGTGCTTTCCCTGCAGTAAAGGGTCTGAATATGTCTTCCACTACTGTCACTGGGTGTAGAAAGAATACTTAGGACTCACCCAGAATCTCTCCGACTCCGATGCAGATCCCAGAGATGCCGATCAAACTCTTCGCATCGTGGCCGAAGCTTGTCATGGCTCCGATACACGTCCCGTAAACCCCGCTGTAGAAAGTGAGCTCCAGGCCTGACAAAGAAGAAAGCAGCAATCCAGACTCATTGTCCCAGACATCCAGCCATCCATCCATCCATCCATCCATCCATCCATCCCTCTCTCTCTCTCTCTCTCTCGCTATCTCTCTGTCTCTCTCTGTCTCTGCCTCTGTCTCTCTTTCTCTGTCTCTCTCTTTTCTCTCTGTCTCTCTCTCTCTGTCTCTCTCTTTTCTCTCTGTCTCTCTCTTTCTCTCTCTCGCTATCTCTCTGTCTCTCTCTT